TCGATCTTTTAACTAGAAGCGTGGGAATCTCAGTACCTTTGCTCCGTCTGGAGTGTTAGAATTCAAAAGATTTAAATATTAAGCGTTTTGATCTTAAGATAATTAAATCTTATGATCCCTAAAACTACTGTTTCTTGAATCCATCGCCACTCCAGCGTGAAATCAAAATACATAATCAAACAAATTAACAAAACTACTGAACTTAAAAAAAAAATCAACAAAAGTGAAATAAAAATTAGCAACTATTTCGAAAGTCAGCTTAAATCAATCAGAAAAAAAAAAAAAGAGGTCATATCTTCTTCTATCTCCCGTACTTTCTTAGTAAGCAAGCAAGAGTTTAAAGTGAAAAGAGAAAAAATCTGAAACCTAACCGGAAAATATCCCAACAACTCTCCATTCCAGGAATCGGAGCAGGGAATCCATTATGCGCAAAAGAACTGCGATAAACAGGGCCGATCGACGGTTTTCCATCGCTGGCGGCCTTCCCTTTCTCTACCTCTATTATGTAACTCTTGCTAGCCATTTGATCAAAGAAGTCAAAACCAGACACCGCGTGGCTTTCTTTGTTATATTTCCCTTTTCAACTATATGTATGTGGATGGATCTCAGAACGGAAAATGTAGAATGATATTTGTGAATATATAGTGCCAAACTATTTAGGTGGCAGTGGGTGACCGGCAAGACGAAAGACGCCGGGTTTTTTTAATTATTATTTATGAATAATTATTGATATTATAAGACTTTTATTTAAAGCTAGTTTTGCCTTGTGAACTAGAAGGGAAGCCAAACGAATGGAGGGAATTATACAAAAAAAAAGGGACCACTTTGGATCTGCGGTGTGACAGATAGTAAAGATCTAATCAGATTAATTTTTGGTTAGGCTGAAATTTAGTATACTCATCCTTTTTTGAAATTTTCTTATTACTTTATATATTTGGTTTTATTTTTTATCTTTTGTAAGAGAAAAAAGATAGCTTTAACAGCCATACTATATAGTGCTACCATTAATTGATATTAAATAGCTAGTAATCTAATTAATCAAATTATGTAAATTTACAAAATTAAAGATACATGTGTATTCACCAATTTCCACAATTAAACATATTTAAAAAAATAATGATGTTTCCCTTAAATAGCTTTTTATTATTTTCTTTAAAAACCAAAATAAACTTTAAGCGATTGGTGCTTTGCCTTAAATTATAATATTTTTTTCTTTTTTTGAACAATCAACAAACAAATTTCAAAAGTCAATGCTAACACTTCTATTCAAGCATTTGGAGGCGCCTAACAATACAACAGTGTAAATATTCACGTTTGACGTCATATTATATTTTCTATTTGTTGGTCAACGATATGAATAACGGGCACGTATTTAGTTTTCTTTGTATCAAACTCATAATAATAATACTAATAAAATTAATATTAGAGTCAAATCAAAATATATTTACTCTTTCTACAGGTTTAACCTTTTAAGTATTTAAGGTAACATTCAACAAAGTTCTAAAAAAGAAGAGAAAATACAATAAGCTCTTAAAATAAATATTAGTAGGACCATCTTTTTCCTTCCTTTTTTGATGGGAATTAGCATATTTTTTTTATTCTTTGTTTCGGCACTAAATAAAACTAATTGCCAAGGACCAAACCGTACGTCCACGGAAAAAGATTGTTTCCTTTCCTTTATTTTTTAATTAAGTAACATAACATGTGTATGACTTTGTTTGATTTTAATTCTGTATGTGCAATAAATTTTAAAGCTTTGGAAATGTCAAAAGACTTAATTCTCTATTAGCTGTCCCTTTTGAACTTTATATTTTTAATAAAAATAATAAAATTGATAATCACCACTATTACAGCCTAACATATCTCAACCAATAAAGATAGAGATTTATAGAACCCAACACAATATTTTGTTATATCTAAAAATATTCAGGTTGTAACCTTATCATTTCTGATGGGTACGTGACCTATTCAAAAGTATTTGACATTTTAAATTCGTAATAATCAAGATTACTACATCGTGCTGATTTTTCTCTTATCAGCAATTCTAGAAAAATAAAAAGTGCAAATCAAGGTTGCTGAAAGGTATTTTCTCGTATTCTTTAAGCAACTGTCAGGGATTTTTCTTAAGTTTCATTTTCCATGTGATTTTGTATCATTATTTTCATTTATATAAATTCACTAATTTTGGTTAGGAAAATTCAACAGGACCGGGTCGGTCATATTTATGATCCTCACCGCCTGCTAACTGTTCCTTATTCGAGTCATGAATTTTCGGCTATTAACAAAAGGGGGCATTCAAGTAAAACTATGACTGCCAACCGTATGGCCAAGGCAATAATGATACTTCTAAAGTTCAGTTTCTAAGTATGTTTCAATACAGATTAGAATTAGCACTATTTCTTTGAATAGATTAACATGCTATGATTATTGTAGAGTATGAATTTGTTCTGTGTTCTTTCCTTCTCCTTACGTAAGAATCCCTGTTGCAATTAATTTTTACTATCTCTCAATTATTGCATTTTGTTTTAGAGTCAATCTCATGTTTTTAAATTTTAAATTTTAAATCATTGATTAGAATGAAAAGTTGGTAAAATATTCTTACTTTTTAAATTTTAATCAAAATTCTCTATTAACTTTCGAAATGGACATTTTATAAAATGTAAAATACGGTTAATAGATAATATAAAAGATAAAAATATTTTTTTATTAATTAAAAAAATTATTATAATTTTTTTAAAAAAATAAAGAGCATTGATAAGTGCTCTCTTATTTTTTAAAATTAATAAAAAGTTATATAATAATAATTGTTTAAATTAATAAAAACATTAATAATTAACTATCAGTTGGATTTATATGTTTAATAGAAGATATGTTTTTAAAATAGAGTATATATTTAAAAAATAATAAATATATTTAAATTTTAAAATATTTTTCCTTAAATTATATTAAATTCAAACACCTCCACGTGTTGAGCAAAATCAGTTGTTTTGTTCTTCTTATATCTTATTTGTGATCAAGGATGCTATATCATTAAAAGCAAACCGGTTTACATCAGTGTCGAAGTTGGTGTATAATAGAATGAAGTCGGTTCATTTAATTAGATTTTCAATTTGTACAGCCACAGACAAATGAAAGTTTTAAAGAAAGCGATACCGTTAGCACTATTTCTTTAGACAGATTAACATGCTATGCTTATTGTAGAGAATGAATTTGTTCTGTGTTCTTTCCTTCTCTTTACGTAAGAATCCCTGTTGCAATTAATTTTTACTATCTCCCAATTATTGCATTTGGTTTTAACGTCAACCTCATATTTTTAAATTTTAAATTTAAAATTATTGGATGAAAAGTTCATAATTATAAAATATTTTTATTTTTTAAATTTTAATCAAAATTATAAACGAATCTATTAATTTTTAAAATGAACATTTTACAAAGTGTAGATACCGTTAACAGATAACATAAAAAATTTTAAATTTTTTTTATTAATTTAAAAAATTATCATGTAATTTTTTTAAAAGAACTGATAAAAAGTTATATAATAGTAATTTTTAAAATTAATAAAGAGTAAAATTTTATTTTCAATATTATCATGTTATTTAATGAATAAAAAACATTAATAATTAACTACTGAATTTATATATATAGTAGAAAATATTTTTTAAAATAAAATATTTATATTAAAAATTAATAAATTAATTTAAAATTTAAAATATTTTACCCTAAATTATGTTTTAATTCAAACACCTCCACGTGTTGAGCAAAATCAGCTGTTTTGTTCTTCTTGTGTCTTCCTTATGACGAAGGATGCTTTGTCATTAAAAGGCAAACCGGTTTACATCACTGTCGAAAAGTTGGTGTGTAATAGAATGAAGTCGTTTAATTTAATTTGATTTTCAATTTGTACAGCCACAGGTACAAGAGGACAAATGAAAGTTTTAAAGAAAGCAATACCGCTGCAAACTGAACTTGTCAAATTGGAAATGGATAAAGACAATCTCCACCGTCTTTTCTCGTCGAGAAAACAAAAAGGAAAATTCCATTTTGAGGGGAGACTACCACTTCCTCCTATAAAAAAAAAAAAAACAAAGACTATTATAATTCATGTCAGGCCTGGGATGGGTATAGTTAAAAGAGGAAATGCAGTTGTGGAAACCCAATAAGAACAACGTTTGAGTTTTCTCGATTAGAATTGTCTCAGACTGAGGCACATCACATATGTTGTCCAACATGGTTCGGTAATAGTGGATTCATCCATTATAATTCATCATTTGCTATTTTATTATAGATTATTCAACTAAATTTTTGGTCTTTCTAGATTGTAATTACTGTTTATTTATTTATTTATTTTTTTCATAATTTCATGTAACGTCAATCAACCAGCTCGCGTAGCTTGTAAATGTCAACGAACATTACACATGCAACCCCAGTAGCATAAACCATCCCAACACGTTTGCGGATGTTTGACGGGAAGAAGTTACGCTTAAGAAAATGATAGGGGAAATTTTTATTTATTTATTTTTCATTATAGTGGAATGTACGGCATAAAAGGTTTTACTTGGACTTTTCGCAAAAACATTCGATGGTCAGCCTTACCATCTCCAAGTGCTCCATCCCCTACCGCTTCTTTAATCTAATCCTTATACGTTCGATAAAAACAAAGAACAAAGGGGCAGAAAATGACTTCCTTGATTGTTCTTTTCTTCCCAAGTAATTAAGTTTGATGAATCCCTTCACTTCAGGCTTTGAGAAGACTCCTTCAACAAGTGATACATGAGCCGTAAATTACTAGTACAAGTTCCATATCACCATCACTTTGCACGTTGCAGCCCTTCCGTCCTCCGCATGCAACCATAGATAAAACTCATTTGTGATTATACCTGCACACAATGTCCTTCTATGTGTTCGTCAATATCAATCCTACTGATGCACAATATCCTTGAAAGTCGGGATCATCAAAACATTCATTTAGATAATCCTTAAGTAGATCAATGACGAAAATCTGCCAAATTACAATGAGATAATATTGCCTAAAAAATAGATACACTGCCCCAGGAGGATCCCCGAGAAACACCGTTCTAGATGAAGAATGTTTCATACACCAATACAAAAAGATAGCTCTCATATTTCAAGGAACCAATCTTAAGTGTAAGCCTAAAGCCTTCCAACATGTGGTTTACTTGTATTTTATTTTTCTTCACTACATGAGCAGTGAATACATGTTTACCCGTACAACAAACCCCAAATCCAGGGAAAAAGAAAACTCTCTTAACTCTTCAATTGCAAAATAACTCTCCTGTCACTTTGTTTCTGTGGCCCAAACAGCAGGCCCTACCAAAAATAATATATAATGCAAATTTTTAATATATATTAGTCATTCTAACACCAGTATCCTCATCTTCGGAAATTAAGGGCAGTTCAACTTCTTGCAGGAAAGCCTTCTCACCTCTTCTTGTTTTTCTTCCTTCCTTTTACTTGTCTCTCTAAACTTTTAAGCCTCTGACTGATAGCCGAAGAAGAGGATGTTATTTGGTTTGATACTTTTGCTGGTTCAACAGGTAATGAGGTAGATTCTTGTGTTGCTGCTCTGCCTTGTTTGACAGCTTGTTTGAGAGCTGCAAACAGATCACCAGAAGGCTTTTGTGCAGCACCTGGCGGTGGCTTAGGTATTTCAGGAACACCTAAAGCCTTCTTCACCCCTGGAGACTTGAGCACTGCAAAAATCAAATTTTCAAGGGAAAAGATAGACATGCTCAGCAATTTCAAGAAAAAAGTAAGTCACGTCTGATGGTGTTTATTCTAAGTAAAACAAACCAGGAGTTTATGGACTCACCTAGGCCATAGGTGAGGGAAAACAAATTTGATGTAATCCAATAACAAAATATGGCCTGTAGATAAAAAAGAGATCAAAATTATCATTAGCATGCAAATATTCACAGGAAGTAACAGCACCCAAACTTTAAGTAGCAGTTCTTTAAAACTGGGTTCCAGATTTCTAGTTGAAATACAGAGAGCTCACATATGGCACTATTCGCACATACTAGCCAATAGTATACCAGCTTTTTACAGTAGGCAATGCATATGGAGTGTATGAGCTTGTTGAGGGAAAATGTTTTATAAAGCCAAGATGGTCTATTTGACTTGGAAAAATCTTAATATAATCTTGACATGATATTAAAAAAAATGTGCTGGAACCAAAATACAAAGTGGTGAGTATACCTTTGGGAAACTCATGGTAAATGGAACTGTAAGAGCAGCTAAAACCCTAGAGACATTTTTTATAGTTCCAGCGGCAGGATTCCCTTCCATACCTTCTTGCATGTTGCACTGAGAAAATATAGCAGTTAATTAAAACTGATTAAAAGAAAAAAAGGCATACTGTAATACAATTAATGCTTTAATTTAATCCATAAAAAGAAAGCTCACCTCCACTGTTATCAAAAAACTAAGGGCTGTCAAAACTGGAAGAATATATAAATCATCTGGAGTAGTAAGATCCATAAACCAATACGGTCCACCGCATTTAAATGACGGCACTTTCTCAGCCATGTTTGAAATCTGGGTAAAAGACAAGTCACAGAGAATAACTCTAAACGTACCACATTCAATTCTAAGACATAAACCAGTAATCTTTCACATAATGTTATTACCAACAACATTTATCTTACAGCGAGGAAAAAGCTGATAAAGATGGGCCCCTGAATAAACAGCCCTTTCATTGGACTAAACGGAGTCACACCATATCTGCAGGTATTAAAAAAAAAAAACCAATGAAATCATCTGGTAAAACCAGTTTAATGACATTTAAGTGAATCACTATATCAAGCACATTCCTGGTCAGCCAGATATTAGACATATATCAAGAACTGAACTATCATCTAAAACACCTCACGTCTAATGACATTTGTTTCTAACCTCGAATATATAGAATTAAATCATAGAGTAACCTCCACGACAGATTTAATAGAGATGGTAACAGTATAAACCTATCATGACTTTAGACTAAGATGGATACCCAAGGTTGTTTTGTGTTGGACGGAATAAAAATAACACTAGAGATTAAATTAAGAACACATTTGAATCAATGTGAAGCTACTGACACATTTTTCCTTAACCAATGCCAGATTATAGTGTAAAATAAAAACCAGGGCCCTTAGCAAAGTTGTGAAAAGCCAATTAGCTGATTTTGGTGACTGATTCATGGAGCCAAAGGGTATGCAATCTATTTTTATGACAAGTACTCTCAAAAGGCAAATGAGCTTGTCTTAATTGAAAAGTTGCTTACTCATTGAAAAGCTTTTTCATTTCCTTTTGACCTTCAGCTACTGTCAGGGAATCCATACCCTGCAGAAAAATAGGCAAAAAATTGTTTAACTTTATTTCATTCTATTGTAAAAGAAACATATACATCCATGTAATCAGAACATGCTCCAAAATTATGCAGAACAGCAAATAACAGCATGCTATGCACAGAGTGTAGATGGTTTCAGAAATAATAACACAATCACAGAAGAAGCTGGTATCAGACCTTGCTTTGCATCTGCTCCTTGATTTCCTCCAAGCGTGGCCTCAATAGCTGCAGGATAAACACAAATTACTATAGACATAGACTAATAATTAATGACATAGAAAGATCTTCTTTTTCATTTTTTTTTTATAATCAAGCTATAAAAGAAAAGGAGCAGTTTCTAAGCTGCAAAACTGAAGCCACTTACAAGGAGAAAGAACATCTAAAGAGAGAGACATAAGTTCCCTTACTTTGTCCATGCCCATGGCATAGTAGGAAACTAGTCAATGGATAACTGTTGCATTCATACGACGCTAACTTGAATTTTTTTGTACAAAAAAAGGTAAAACTAGTCAATGTAAAGCTAGAAGAATAAGATGATGTCTCCTAGTTATTTCTTTTCCCTTTGCACTATTAAAAAGGTCTGAAGGCAAGATCCCACATCATCCAAATGTCACTAGTATTATTACTACACAAGAACACAATTCACTTTACCAAGTTATCCAGTATTTTGATATTATCAGTGGCTTCATAGGATCAAAACAAAAAATAGACTCAATTCATCAAAACTTAAACACTAATCATTAAAACAACGTCTTGCATATAGACTTAGGTGCTACTAAAAAACTATGTGAAGTATACAAAGCGCACTACAAGTAAGAAGAACACGAGAAAGCAAAAAAGAAACAGAAGCAAGTATGATTACACACAGTAAATTTTGAAGTAGCTTTAAGTTGATTTATCAGAAGTGGAATAGTTGCCCCTCGAATCAAAAGGGTTGTCACTACTATGGAAGCCCACCTGAAATAAATAATAAACCAATAGCGTTAAAAGATTAAAAGAAATACTTAAAAAAAATAAAAAATCAGAGAAAGGTTTTACTTTCAACATTGCACATCATTAAAACCTGGAGGTTAGCTTAAAACATGAAGTCACAATATACATATTGCATAAGATACACTGTGCAGGTTCACTTCAGGATTTACATGTCATCATCTTGCAAGTTATAAATTTCATCCAAACCACATAATAATAATAATAATAATAGTAATAATCATAATAATAACAATTTTAACTAGAAAGTTAAAGTATATATTATGGAGTGATATAGCATGCAAGTTTTAATAAGTATTCCATACATAGGAATCCTTATATTTATAGCCGTGATAGGTACCGCACTCTCTGCTGTCACCCTTTGTCATTGAAATATAGCTCATGTATATGGTATCAGCATCAGTTTTGAAGCCAATTTATTGAGTCACTTATAACGTAAAGAAGTGATAATTCAACAAAATGACTTCGTAATGCAAAATCATTGCCCATGCCATGCGTTCTTGGGACATTTTCATAATTGCCAAAATACGAAATAACTAAAAGTAGCAACTTACCAGGGGAAGCCAGTAAAAGAATGAACCGTATCAATAACATGCTGCAAGGCAGCAACCGGAAACCAAGAATCAGCAGCAGCAATGGCAACCTCATTAACAGCAGAAGCCGCTGCACTCATATCTGCCCCACCAGCATTAACAGCAGAAGCCGCTGCACTCATATCTGCCCCACCACCAATGGTTGTAGACATATATCGACAAAAAGACATGCCAGAGCTTGGATGAAAAGATAGTTGGGAACATATTCTATCTTGGAACAACACACCAAACCCTGAGGATGAATTACTAAACCCAGTTCCAAAAGATCTCTGTTGAACAAAATTACCGGGTTTTTCATGAGATTGGGACGGGTTTAAAGATTGATTTTTACGGTCATCTTCATGGAGAATGTACGCAAATGATGGTCGATATCGTCTAGCAATTAGAGTTGCTCTATTGGAAAGGCTACGCGAAAAAGCCATTGATTCGAAGAATAAAAATTCCTTTTGGTACTGTTCCAATTGAGTTCAATTAAGGCAGAGAAAGGAAAGGAGAGAACGCCGTTGTCGCCGCCACCACTGGCACGGCCCAAAGCCGGCAATAGCAATTAGGTTCTGTTGAGGGACGCTAGGGTTTTCTAGAAAGAGCCAAAACTGGCGGCAGGAGGAAGAGGGAAGTGAAAAAGAAAAAATGATAAGAAAGAAGGAGCCGTTAACAGGAAGGCCAACGCCAGCGACAGCTCCGGGATCGAGGAAGTGAGAGAGGATCGAGCAAAAGGGGCAGGTCGCTAGGATTAGTGGAAGAAGAAGACAGTAACAATGAAGAGAAAAGGTTTTTCAATTAGGGTTGGGCTTTGGGTGAATTCGAAGAAAAAAGGCCGAAGGAAGGTAGAGAAAGGGAAGAAGAGTTGGGCCGGGTCCACCCAAACCCAACTCGGATCAACTTTCAACCTAGCAGGTTGGGGTCAAACCCAATTGTACTTGATCTGCCTGAAGTCGTACAAACCGAATATGAATCAAAAAATAGGAGGCATGTAAAAAATTAAGAATCGATAAATATCATATAAATCGAGGGCTATGCGGATCCAATTGAGGTATTTTTTAACCTATTGTTATCATTTTTATTTTATTTATTTATTTTACATAAGTTAAATTAATAAAATTACTTAAGAAAAGGAAAAAAATAAAAAATAAAATAATTAATTCAATAAATTTAATAAATAAATTGGGAAATATCCAAAAAATGAAAATTTTAGAGAAAAAAAATTATAAGCGATAATTTTTAAAAAATTTTTTACTTGAAAAATAATTATGGATGCTTACCAAAAGTATTGAGAGATCCCAAAATTATTTTTATAAGATAGATTAATTTTAAATAATAATAAAGACATAAGATGAAAAAGTATTAATTAAAATTAAAAATAATTTACAAAATTACATCACCAAGTCTCTATATATATATATATATATATATATTTGATCCTTAGAATTGAATTTTTTTTTTAATTCCTTCTTTCTATCCTATCTTTGTGTAGCTATAGCACGATCAATTTGCATTGCTTAAGTCCAAAGGCATGAGTAATTATATCCTATCAAAGATTATTGGACTATCTTATAGATATTAAATATTCCTAAAGTAATGCAGCTAGGGATTGACGAAAGAAGATTCAAAAACTAAGGGTCTTTCCTGGCTTCTGAGTGTTCTCTGCTTTTGGAAATTCATGAGAAAGCCATGGTAGCTGAAGTAATTGAAATGGAGATTGCCAGATTGGCAATTTCCCTTTGCAAGATTGGCCGATATTCAAATGCTGTTTGTTGCATTATTTTCCCAATGGCCACACCGAATCTGATCAAAGGAATAGAACTGTGATCAAATGTGCAAAGGTGGGGAGTCTCTCTGTTTAGTAGGAGGATATAACAATGGCTACAACATTAACCTTTTATAACTTGAGGAAATATTCCACCATGGGTGCATGAGTTTGAACAGTTGAGAAAGGTGTAACTTCGAAGGTAAGTGGAAACAATATTAGCCTCCCACAGTAGATTTTATTTTTGTTTTAACCAATCAAACTTGTTTCCTTGTGTTCTGTATTTCTCCCATCAACTTACCATTAATTCTTTAGGTAGCAAGTTCCTTTATGGGGATTTTAACGTTTTCCTCGTTGGTTCGGTGCTCCCAATTCCAAGTTCATGGATGAGGAAACAGAGTCAGTGCAAAGCATGAACCTAGCAATAATCAACGTTTACATGTACAGCAACTCTACAATATTGCAAAGGAAAGATCATCTTAGTTTGAACGCTTTTTCCTTTCCCCGTGTATTAGAAATTTAGAATACTGAAATTCGATAGTTAATCATTTACTGTGAGAGCAGAGCTCTCTGGGTTATTACGACATAATGGACATGTAGCATTCAATTTCAACCACTCATCAATACAAATAGCATGAAAATAATGCTTGCAGTCTGGAATAGTCCTTAACGTCTCTTTTGCTTGGTACTCGGAAAGACATATTGGGCAAGTGTTATCGTTAGGCCTTGGCAATCGCCGGCTTTCACCTAGCAATGTTATTGGGTAGGTGTCAATAGTCGGTCCGTCGAGACCTTTCGCAACACTATCTAATCTTGGGCCGACTGAGTTGGAGAATGTTTCCGGGTTGGGATGTTGGTGATGGCTGTGATCGTCAATCTTGCCCTGGAGGTAAATTACCAAGCCGAAGACGAACAAGAAGGGTATTCCCACGCCTAATATAATGCCGTATTTAGTACTTTTTGGAAGACCTAACATGAAAATTGAACAAAAAAAAAAAAAACCACATGTTTAGTTAATGAATAAATTGTGGGTAGAAAATAAATAATGAGACATGCATGTTGGCTACTAGAAATAGAGAGAAACGTTGACCGGCCCTAATTCTTTGGCAGTCTAGAGCAGCCTTGCGTGTTTGTGGGTGCATGAAAGCGATGCCTCACCAATGGATTGAGACCTCAATTGCAATTTGAAATTTGCCTTTGTTCACCAGAGTGTGAAACATGTGTTTATGTTAATCAACTGATGTCTCCATGTCTAGCTTTTCCCTATGGCCATTGCTAATCAGATTAACCAACATGTTTTACTGCAAATTAGAACATACCATTGCTAATACCACCAAAGCATCCAACGTCCAGACCCGTATCTCTCTTGAACATGCAAATCCCTGATCTCGTTTCGCACAACAGGCAGTCAGGTTTGTTCCATGTCAACCTGATACCATAGCCAGGCTCCGACCAACCTGTCCAGGATAGTGGTACCAAAACCGTTGCTATCTCCAAACACGATGTCGACAACGATGTAGACGAATCAAGACGGTCAACCGGTATAGCCACGACGGAGAAATTACCGCCGCTAAGACAAGAAATTAACCTTGCTTCTGGTAGTTCTGTCGAGGCGGCAGAGGAGCAATTGAAAAAGGTGTAGCTTCGAGGATACAGCAAATCAAAAGGAGTGCCAGACAGATTAAGTCCGTCAAGGAGACGTTTTGGGGCACAATGATCTGGGTCGTTGATCCATATATTTTGGTAAGTATAGTCGATGTTCACGACAGTGAAGTCACCGGAAAATGGAAGCGTAAGGCCAGTTTGATCTTCGTTTTTGCATGAAAGATTGAAGCCGGGATAGCCACATCGATCAGGTTGGTTGTTGAGACGGAAGGGGAAGCGAATCAATTCAATCCCACATGAAGCACCGCAAATTTCAGCGCTCGTTGATGGTTGAAGGGAGAGTAAGAGGAAGGAGGAGAAGATGAAGAAGATGATTTCCAAGAGACCATTTGGCGCTAATTCAAAACTTACAAAAGAGAGTAAGAACACTCTCTGTTTCCTTTTGAGCTTCCTAAGCTTGTACCTTGGGTGGGCAAGGTCAATGTTCGTGACTACAAAATACAATAACTGAAGTTGAAGAATTTTATAACTAGCTAGATGATCCAAAGAAAATAGGACATATATGTATTTATTTATGATATTCTCTTGGAAGCTCCTGTTATTTATTTAAAACAGTTCAAGAGGTTAAATACCAGTTCAAAAGGAATGAGACAAAAGCGGATGTTTAACATCTTAGAATATTTTGACAATTAGGTAGCAGCCGTTGCAAAGTCCTTTTTTTTTTTTATTTTGGAAGATGATTTTATTTGTCTCAGTCACTCATATGCTATTTCAAGTAATTTGTTCATTGCGATAGACTTTTCATGACATAATAATTGGTCTAGAGAATGAAAATTTGTACATTTACAAAAGAGATTGCACAAAAATCATTGGCAGTGAAAAGCAACGAAAATATTGTCGGCTTCTTCAATTCTTATCATTCATGAACAATTATAGTCATAAATGATCAAATTAAAAATTTCTTATATTAGTGTTTCGTCACATTGCTTGTCACATGTTTTGTTACATTTATCTTTTATATCATGTTGCACAATGTCATGTGTTGTGCTTCACTACGTCACATTAATTACCACATGTTTAGTTACATTCATATTTTGTGTCGTGTTTCGTTTTGTTTATCATTTATATTGTATTTCGTTAAGTCATCTTTTATACCAAATATTATGTTTATCTTTTATATAGCGGTTTACCACATCATCCTCTATGTTGTATTTTCCAAATCACTTGTCATATATTTCATCTTTTATACCTTGTTTTGTCACGTCACTTATCACTTGTTTCGTCATATTTATATTTTATATCATGTCTCACTACATCATCTTTTATGTCTTAATTAGTTAGTTAAAATTAGACTTAAAAAGATTAACCTTTTATATATATATATAGATTTTAAATTTCTCAATTTATAATTTATATCTCTCTATAACTTGTACAGTTTTATATTATATAAGATTTTCTCTTCTTCTAACAAAAATTTTGCTTAAATATTTGAACTCTCCTATAAAAATTCGACTTTGTTGAATTACATTGTTATACTATAATTCTGTTAGTTAGTCAAAATTATATTTAGTAAGATTAACATTATATATATTTAGATTTTAGATTTTTCGATTTATAATTTAAATTTCTCAACTTATACAATTTTATATTATATAATAAGATTTTCTCTTCCCCTAACAAAAATTATGCTTCAATACTGGAATTCTCCTTTAAAAATCCGAGACTTCGTTGAATTGCATTGAATTCCAGGTCTGGGTTTTATTACAATATTAAGTTGGATTGATCTATTATTTCTTTTTTCAAGTTTAGAAAGAGAAAAGAATTGCCGCCGTTGTAACGAGCCACTAGGTTGCACACTTGCACTGTTTAGGAAAGAAAAGAGAGCAAATTTGGTAACAGGAGGAGCTGAAAGAGACTAATTAATTAGATTAATTTCAATGCAACGTCGGCTAAAGAATCCATTTTTGCACAATATTTCTACATAATGGGTACAAAATGAAAATAACATCGATCATTCGTATCTAGTGGGATGAAGATGAAGAAGAGGATGAAGAAGCCGAGGGAGCAGACCGCTCCGTTGTATTGCGACAGACTGGACATGTAGCATTCAATTTCAACCACTCATCAATACAAGACGCATGAAAGTAATGCTTGCAGTCAGGGATGGTCCTTATCATCTCTTTAGCTTGGTACTCACAAAGACATATGGGGCAAGTGTTGTCATTAGGCCTTGGTAATTCTCCACTTTCACCGAGCAAAGTTGTTGGATGGGCCTCAATTGCTGGTCCATCAAGACCTTTGGGTTCGGTCGTTAGTCGGCGTGGGGCGACTGGAATGGAGATTTCCGGACTGGGATGTTGATGATGATTGTAATCGTTAACCTTCCTACGGAGATAAAATACAAGCCCGGCGATGCACAGGAGGGGTATTCCCAGGCCAAACGCTAGGCCATATTTAGCACTTTCTGGGAGACCTATAAAAATGGAAAGTCATGCTTGTTAAATCTAATTATGATCTAGTAAACTACCTTTCTTTGGGGAAATTCTTAATAGAAAGAAAAAGACCACTGGGTTTTTACTTATGATTTAGAGTATTATAGAACATATAATTGCTAAATTAGCCAAACAGAAGAAAAGAAAGAAGAACCTACCGGGGCTAAAACCGCCGTAGCATTTAACGTCCAGACCTGTATCACTCTTGAACATGCAAGCCCCTCCACTGCGTTCGCAGAATTTGCAATCGGGTTCATTCCATGTCAATCTCATACCATAATTAGGATCCCAAGATGGAACTAGAACCGTGGCTATCTTCAAACACGACGATGATACTAAGGATGCATACGAATCGAGAACATTTGTTGGAATAACCACAACAGAGAAAGTTTCGGCGCTAAGACAATCAATGTACCTTGCTTCGGGTAGTTGTGTTGATACACCAGCTGAGCAATTCAAAAACGTGTAGTTTTGAGGATGTACAGGCTCGAAAGGAGTATGGGAGAGATTAAGACCCTTAAGGAAACGTCTTGGGGTGCAATAATCAGGGTCGTTGATCCATATACTTTGAACCCAATAGTCGATGATTTCGACTCTGAATTCACCGGCAAACGGAAGGGTGATTACTGTTAGAGCCTGATTTCTGCATGAGAGATTGAAGCGGGGATAGCCACAACGATCAGCTTCGTCGCTAAGACTGAAAGGGAAGCGAATCCATTGCCCCCCACAGAAAACACGGCAAATTTCAACGCTTGTCGATGGTTGAAGAGGGAGTAAAAGGAAGGAGAATAGGATGAAGACGAAGACATCAAAGAGAGCCATCTGGTGCTGAAGTGAAAGCTACAAAAATTCTACTTTCTTTTTTAAGGTTTCATGGCTACAAAGTACAAAAAGAAAAGTTAAAAGACTTTCAATAGTTAACCAAATTATGATGAGAAAATGAGAAAGAGGACATAAAGAAGAGTTCAAAAAAGTCATTTTATGCTTATTCGGAAGGCAAAAAAAATACTATATATGCTGGTTTTCTTCGAAGCTTTCCTGCTATCTACTTATTTATTCAGTGGGGAATGAGACAAGAGGAGGTTAACATCTTGTATTATTTGAAAGTTTTGTAGCTAGTGATGTTGCAATGCGTGGATTATTTGATATTCAAAATGGGAAACTTAAGAGCATCAACAAGCATATTATTAAATTCTTCAGTTTTTCTCATGAACTACTCATCAATGACCAGCTCGATGCTTTAATAGTCGTATTTCTCTAAAAATCTGACTTTACTGATGTGTATTGAAAGTAAGATCTTGGCCTTTTGGGTTTGATTTCAATGTTTGGGAGGATTGATCTATTATTATTAGTTTTTCAATGTTAATATTCTTCCATTTCAACTAGGCACACTAGACATGTACTTGCACTCGTACAAAAACAAAAGCTTATTACATTTGTCATACATATATAGTGGGTGCTGCATGTACCAACATAAATTTTTTATTCTTATTGGGTGTCTCATTTGGTTTTTTTTTTTTTTTTAATTTTTACATCAATTGCTTTCTTTCTAATTTTAATTGTGACAATCTTGGAGCATGTCAAAAACCCAATTCTGATTTTTCCCAGATCAATACAATACAAACATATTATAGCAAAAAAAAAATTGTACAAATAATAAAAGCCATCTACGGTGGTGGTGAGGACGAAGGGGGGTAAATGTAGAATGGTTGATCAAAGCAGTCTCTTGATCTGGCGTATTGCGACAGACAGAGCATGATGCATTTAGTCTAAGCCATTCATCTTTGCAATCAGCATGAAAGTAGTGATCGCAATCAGGTATGGTTCTTATTATCTCTTTGGCTTTGTAGTCTGATAGACATATTGTACAAGTATTATCATTAGGCCTTGGTAGCGGGCAGCTTTCACAAAGCAAAGTAATTGGATAGGCTTCAATCCTTGGTACAGTGGCAGCCATTTGTGGCTCAGCAAAGCTGAAGATTTCGACATTGGAGTGGTGGCGTTGATCATGACGACCAACTTGGACATTGTAATAAATCAAAAACACCACAAGGAGGAAGATGGGTGTTCCCACAATAAAAGTTATGGCATATTTGGTACATGTTGTAAGACCTAAAAATTAAATTGAAATTAATGGATGAAGTTACAAAAAATTGGAAAGATGTTTGTCAACTCTAATTAATTAAATTAAGCTATCATATATCTGAAATCGGTATACTAGCCAAAATAAAGAGCATGAAGTCCTACATGCTTCTCTCTTTAATCACCTTAAATTTGTTTCCTGAATTGGAGAGTTCTATTCCTTCTTAATTAATCTGATTTTTCATATTGTTTCTATGAGTAAGTAAAGCACAATCATGCTTTCTATGAGAAGAAAATATGGCATAAATATCATCTGAGCAACATGGTTTTATTTGCAACATACCATTTTTCTTTTTGAATTGATCACCCCCACGGCTTTCACAGTTACATGAGTGCTGGCAATCGGGTTCTTCCCATGTTAACAGAATTTCATCCATAAATTACTCATGCAAATCTGGACTCGGAAGGGGGACCGAAATCGTTGCTATCTCTAGACATGACCGCAAGGAGGACGACTGGTTGTAAAGAATTGTGGGTATAGCCAAACCGAAAAGTTTATACCACTAAGGCAAGAAATATACGTTGCAGGATAGCCTACTGGTACATTGGAGGAACAGTTGAAAAATAAGTGGCTTTCGGGGAATCGCAGCTCAAAAAAAGTGCCAAAGAGGTCGAGTCCCTGAAGGAGACGTTTTGGGGTGCAATTATCTGGGTCGCTTGATCAATAAATTTGGCGAGGAATAACCGATTACGTCGACTCTATATTCACGGCAAAAGGAAAAGTGATCATGGGCGTTTGGGTTGGGTTTATGCATGAGAGATTGAAGCTGGGATTGCCGCAGCAGTCAGGTTGGTCTGCGAGCCGGAAAGGGTAGTGAATTTTTACACCACCGCAGGAAGCCTCCTGGCAGGTTTCACCGTTTGCCAATGGCTGAAGAAAGAACAACAGGAAGAAGGGGAAGAAGAAGAATTCTAGAGTAGCCATTTCATGAGTCAACAAATTCTCCTTGCAGTGTTTGCTTCTCAATTAACAAAAGAAAACTGAAGAAACGTGTGATCAAGGCCTGCGAATAAAGATTAGTATAAACAGTTTAGACAGATAATCCAATCAAACGAGACAATTAGCAAGCTAATCATAATGTTTTAGATTAGTTCAATAGTTTAGCTGTACCTGATGTTGAGCGTTTGACTGTACAATTTATTAATTGGAAACAAAAGAGAAGTCATGGTTGTTCACTTCTTCTCGAAAGCTAGAAGCCATTAAGCACCATTTTGTTTATGCAATCAATCAATTCTTATAGAAGATCATCTTGTTTTCATTCTGCATTGCGTATTAATGAGATAAATAGAAATAAGACTATTCTGCGTCATCATCATGTTGAGCAAATCCTTCCATTGCTTTACTCCTGACATAAAGGACATGCTGCATTCCGTTTAAGCCACTCATCTATACCGTTAGCATGAAAATAATGCAAGCAACTTGGTATACTCTTAAGAGTGTCTTTGGCTTGGTACTCGCACAGGCAGATCGAACAAGTATTGTCATTAGGTTTTGGTAACTGTAAGCTTTCACAGAGCAACGTTGTTGGATACAATTCAATTGTTCGTCCGTCGAGACCCTTTTTCACGGCACTTGATTTTAGGATAGTTGAGTCGCTGATTTCAGTGTTGGCGCAGCGCCCGTTAGAAATACAAGGCATGATCATGCTTGGAATGCGCGTTACAAGGACGAGGATGCAGAGGATAGAAACCATGGCAAAAAACATGACATACTTGGCAATTCTTGAACTACCTGCTTTAATGCAAATTACAGAAAAATTAATGTAATCAAGCATTACATGATTAATTTCTAGTTTTCTCTTAACTAATAGTATTCATTTCATCAGAGCCATCATCCATGAAAAATCATAAACTCATTCCTTTTTGGCACACAAGCATAAAATACTATGTTTTTCCTTTTTTTTTCTGTCTTTTTTTTATTTGTAAAGCACTAACATACACCATTCTTTCGAGATTCTGAAGTTTTATTAATTTGCAAAATAATTAAAGCATAACTTGATCTATAATTACAGAGCATCCAACCTCCTGGCCTGCATGTTTTTTGAACTGGCAAGTTCCTTGATATTTTAGACACAATTTGCAATCTGGTTCTTTCCATGTTAAAATGCTCCGATCACCAAGTTTTTCCCATAACTTAAAGGATTCGCAAACCGAGAGTGAAACCGTTTATATATTCGGACACGTCGACGATGATGATGCGAACAGATCGAGACGATCTACGGGTAACACCAATGCATCGTCTGAGCAGTTGAACAGCGTCAAGTTCATAAGGTAAATTTGCTCGAAAGGAGTGCCAGAAGGATCGAATCCCTCGAGGATACGTTTCGCAAGGCAACCGGCTGGATTGCTGATCCCGATGTTTTTCTGATAATAGTCTATCATTTCAACGCTGAAATCACCGGAGGATGGAAACGTGATGATTGTTTGGCTCTGGTTCTTGCATGAGAGACCGAAGCCCGGATAACCACAACGCTCTTCTTCGGGTTGATTTGTGAGCTGAAAAGGGAAGTGAATCTTCTGATTTCCGCAATCTGTTATACAGCTTTCACTGCTTATTGTTAGTTGAAGAAAGAAGAAGAAGAAGAAGAACAGCTTGAAAACCATTTTATGTTTCTTTTTCTTTATATACAAACAGGTGATATGATCAGAATTATGGTTCCAACCTCCAATTTATACTAAAGTCTCACTGGCCTAAAACCAAGTGGCTCTGTTTTGTACTTACTAAGAAACTACAAGAATCCTGTTTTTGTTCTCAAAGCTTTGGTGTTAATAAAATATAAAGCTAGATTTGTGAGTGCTAAGCGTTGAGAAAAAGCTGTAGAACTAATTATATTAATCAGTTAATCCCAGTGAGAAATTAGTGAGACAAATTCAAGGCTGACCTTGGAAATTATATAGTAATCAATTCGGCAGCTAATGCGATAAAATTTGATTCCATGCTAAGTAAGTGATTAGAAAATAGAATTAAAACAAAGAACAAAGTATGTTTGGTTTTGGACATAAGTCAAAATGTATGTCTAGACGGTATAAATATAGTCTGCTAGATCAATTCCTTTAGCTAAGCCGTTTTGATTAAATTTAGAATCTTCTTGTTTATGAGGGAAGAGTGATAAAGACCATCTTGTCTTTTAAACGGTATTTTATGCCTGAGTTAAGATCAAGAAGTAGACAACTTGGAATTAACACCCCATTTTTCCACGAAAGACCTTAATAATCTTGTAAAATTAACAACATTAATTCCTCAAACAAAAAATGGGAAAGGCATTCATCCCAGGTGCAACCTGGTTTTAACCGTTCCCTGTCTGTATATGCAGTGGCACCATGGAGGGGGCTGTCCCTCTGTAGTGTCTTACTGCAACACGACCTTTAAAGGGTAGTTTTTTGACTTGACTTCAGCAGTAATGAAGTCTGATTTTAGCCTTACAAAAAAAAAAAAAAAAAAAGAGAACGTGAGGAAGTGCGATAGTTTTTGTGAATCGTGTCTGTCCCCCCCGGTGCCGTGTTACGTTTCAAACCCAGATTTCTTACTAGGACATGAGTTTATCAGTCTTTTGTTGTCTGTGAGGGGCGCACATGCTGTAAAAAGTCTTCGGTGCCCACAAAGATATGTGAAAGACTTGTAGCAGCAAGTTGTAACTCTTGGTTTGAATTGTATTGCCTTAACTGGCTCTGTTATATGA